TATTAGGCTAAGTGTTAGTGGGAAAAGATTTTGTTGAGTAAATGTTCTTTTTTCATAAAAAGCTATGTATAGAAATAGTAGTCTTAATTAAGATCTTTGAAAATCTAGCAATATTAAAATTATGTAAAGAATTTTCTTCTTCCAAAACTTTTCTAATCTTTCACATTGCAAGAAATCTTCTTTCATTGTATCAGAGCTGACCCTCAGAATTTCTTCATGGTATCAAAGATGACCATCATAATTTCTTCATTGTATCAGAGTTAACCCCATGCCAAAGGAAATAGATTCGAATCTCGATGTCACGCGATAAAAATAAATAAATAAACAAATTTCATTCGTCATATGTAGCCAAGGCCGGCCCTGGGCATGTTTGCCCAGGGCCATTGCACAAGGCCCCCAATTTTTGGGGGCCCCAATTAATAAAAAAATATTATATATACTATACAGCCTGCTGCTGTATAGTATATATAAATTTATTCTTCCAATTGGGCCCCCTTAAAATTGGGGGCCTAATTATTAAAAAAAAAATATATATATATATATATATATATATATATATATATATATATATAGTACACAACACGGTAATACCTAAACCCTAATTTGTATTTTCCCTAATCCATTTTTCTTGCAATCACTCCGGTCAGAGTCTGGAATTGAACCAATCGTTTATAAATTATAAGCAAATTCATTATTCTCAAGGTCCTCCAATTCTTCATCGGGTAATTATTAAACTTATCATACTAATTATTTAAATTATTTTATAATTATTATTTTTTAACATGGGTGGCTTTAATAATTTTGAATATTGAATAATATATTCAAGAGTTTGTTTCTTGATTAATTATATATTGATATATTTCTAAACAATTTTTTTTTCTTTACGATTTGGTAATTATGTTTTCTAGAAAATATTCATTTGAATCTGAAAAGCGTAAAATAAAAGTAGAATTTGATCAATTAACTCAATCTTAAAATAGAGCTCTTGAAAATTTCTTTACGAAAGAATACCAATTAGATGATCTGAGCAAAAAGATGATACCAAGAAAAATTTGTTAGATGCTAATAATTTTCATACATAAGATCAAAAATTTAAATGATAGTGTACACAACAATCATATGTATCACTATGACATAAGAATATTGCTAGTTGTTTAGATGGTGGTGGCCACAATGAAAACGAGATTTTGGGAGAATGATATGAAAAAAATTGGTGAAAGTTTTTGCGTCTAAATGTGGGCATGTCACTGTTTGAGTGAAATTTTAAATGTATTTTTTATATAATATTTCTATTTTGAGATTTTGTCACAATTTTTTAAACAACTATTATTTATATATACTAAATACTTGAAAATGGCCCACATTAAGATATCGAACAGGACCCCTGGTTTTATTGGAACGGCCCTGTTTGTAGCATTTGTAAACTCCTGTGTAAATGGCACGCGGACGCAAACACTAACGTGGACGCGGACGCGGAAACGGACGCGGAGGCAGAGGTGGAGACAGAGGCGGAGATGGATGCAGCTGTGATAATCCCTCGCCGCAGCCCCCCAGCCTCCTAATCCCCAGTGACTTTCACTCAAAAAATTAAGGCTTATGGTTTTTGGCTCCTATCCATTTGCGCACTTAGCGCAATGTCACTGTATAAGTCACACGCCTTCCTCAACTTCGTTTGTCCCTACAGAGTTCTCCTCCACACCAGCCTTACTTCAAGCGTGGTCATAAGTTTTTTCGTTTGAGAACTGCACACCTCAAAATTGGTTTGGTGAGCTAGGGTTCATTTTTTTTTTTAACTTACTTCTTTGATTGATCATTTATTTTTGCATCTTAATATTAATTATTAATTCGTTATATTGATTTTATAGGTATTTACACATCTTTTATGTGATCTAACTTGGTATAAGTTGAAGATCAGTTTTGCATTAATATTGCAGAAGTTTGGCCATGAAATTCTGGTAACTATGTGATTATTTTTCACTTTTTAATTCAAGTTCCATCTCTGGCTTCATTTTCACTACAAGAAAAATGGTAATATAAAAATGTTCATCTCTGACTTTTGAAATAACTAATGAGGAACAATTTATATTACTGCTCTATCTGTTACATATGTAGGAAACAATATTAACAATAAGTGGTATTAGGCTAAGTGTTAGGTGGGAAAAGATTTTGTTGAGCAAATGTTCTCTTTCAAAGAAAGTTATGTACGGAAATAGTAGTCTTAATTAAGATCTTTGAAAATCTATCAATATTAAAATAATGCAAAGAATTTTATCCTTCCAAAACTTTTTAAATCTTTCACATTGCAAGAAATCTTTCTTCATGGTATCAGAGCTGACCCTCAGAATTTCTTCATGGTATCAGAGTTGACCATCAGAATTTCTTCATTGTATCAGAGCTAACCCCATGCCAAAGGAAATAGATTCTAATCTCGTTGTCACCCGATAAAATAAATAAATAAACAAATTTCGTTTGTCATTTGTAGCATTTGTAAACTCCTGTGTAAATGGCACGTGGACGCGAACGCGGAGGTAGAGGGGGAGACGAAGGCGGAGATGAAGGCAGCTGTGATAATCCCTCGTCGCCGCCGCCTCCTAATCCACCTGCGACTTTCGCTCAAAAAATTAAGGCTTATGGTTTTTGGCTCCTATCCATTTGCTCAATTGGCGCAGTGTCATTGTATAAGTCACACCCCTTCCTCAACTTCGTTTGTCTCGTTCTTTGTCCCGCTTTTCCCACCAACTCCGTCGTTCCTCCTACGGCTTTTCCCAACCTCTTCCTTCCTTCTCCGAATTTTCCCAACTCACCATACCCGCGGTAAGGTGGTCTGTGCGAGTACATATTTTTTTCTTTTCTAAATACAATTAAAAGAACTTAGACACAGTGTTCTTATACTGAGCAACACACAAACAAAATTAGGAAAAAGAAATTTCAAAAAGGGAAGAAAAACAAAACAAAATAAAACAACCCTAAATCTCTTGCAAAGGTTTTTCTCAAATCAACCCACAAAACACTTCAGTCAACCCCGTTTGTCATCCCTGGCAATGGCACCATTTTGACAAGATCCCGCTTCCCTTTACGCTTGTGGTTCTTGATGAAGCGTAGTCAAAAGTGTGGAGTTATATGGGTAGGAATGGGATGATATGAAATAGATGATAAAACGGGGAGTCGGGGAGTTAGAACCACCCCGAGTGTCGTTCACTTGAGGATAACAACTTGGAGTTCGTGGAGGTCTACGTGTTGATTAACAAGATCCTAAACAAGAGACTTTTACTAAATGAGTTTGGGAAAATGAGGTATTGATAGTAAAAACGCGAACAAATTCAATTGAAATCTGTGGGTTTATTAAAGGATAAAGAGGAGGTCGGGTGATGTGCTGCTTATATGTGTTAGTGTAGGATGAAGGGATTCAAGGAAACGGAATTACTCAACTCAAGAGGACCTACGCCAAGTAGAGGCAACACGCCTACACCTCTAGGCAACAATCACTTGACCTAGGAATTTTGTCCCTAGCCTACAGCCCTTCCCGGACCTTGCCCTCTCGGATTGAAGGGCGGAAAAAATGGTTGGCAAAGACTCCGGATAGCCACGATCTCTCGTCGACTATCCTCTCTCAAACCCTCTCACCTCTTGTGGTCATCAAAAGATAAGAAGCAATACAAAATCAAACATAACGAGAGCAAACAAGCAATTCCCAAATCCTAGATCCCTAGGAATTATAAATCCTAACACACAATGGCGAATCACACGCCCAACCTCACAACTACTTAGCTACACATCAAAGAGTTAACAATTCATCAATAGCAACAATCAAAAGAGTAAAGAATTGTTACCACAAAGATCTACTGAATCGAATCCGATTTGCAATTTTGGTGTAGAAAAGCTCCACAAATCTTCAAAGTATTGAAAACCCTAATAATCTAGAAGTGTTTTTCTCTCTCCAAACTGAATTTGGAATTGGGGAAAAAAATGAAAATCTCTCCCTCTCAATTTGTTCGCCGTCTTCTTTTATTCTTCGAATTCCCATTCACACCGACGTCGCGCCGTGACACCAGTGTAAATGGGAAATAGTTATCTTTCGCATCCGCTGCTGTCCGGCATCTCTATTACCGAATTTCACAAGCTCTCACGCCGCCGATATATATGTATAAAGCCTGTAAAGATTACTATTTTTTTATATTATTTTGCTAAAGAAACAGTCAACCATCGTTATTCTTATCCAAATTTCAAAAGCTCTATATTTTAGTCCATTCCATTCCTTGGCAACCACATAATTGACCCGGAATAAACCAAAGTGAATAGATCACGTACTCCTATTGGAGTTGAAAGGTCATTACTATTAGAGTCAAAGTTATAATCTTTTGAAGTTGTGATTAGTAAGTTAACAACTTGATCAATTTAAATGAAGTTCAGCTAGGCTAGCTTTGGCTTTATGTGAAGCTGTGCCAAATAAAATGAAATTAGGTGGAAACACAAACACACTACGTGATGAGTCTCAAATTTTCAAATTTACTGCTCACTTTACATTTCCTTTTTGACAAATTTGTGCAGATCAGAAGGCCCCCAGTACCTGAATTGGAGCAATTTTCAACTTTATCAGCTGCTGTCCCTTCAGAAGGCCCCCACTACAGACTACTGAGTACTAACAACACTGTTTGAACTAAAATCCTTATATTTAATTATTTAACACATTTCAAATTCGGGATCTTTCCTTTTTCAAGTGTGAGTTAATTCAGGTGTGAAATGAAGTGGAGATAGACAAGTTTATCCTACATTCAAATTATGTAGGAACAATGGAACATTTTATGTGGGGATCAACCTAATAATAACTTTAATTTTATACTGAGTATTACCTCGAAATGAATGGTTAAAATATTAGTTAAGTCATTGGACTATAGACTTGTGGGGACTCGATCTCTGGTATATTTTTTTAAAGTTTCACTTCTATGACCACTTGAGATGTCTATGTGGGTGGGTACCTTTCTCATATTATATAATCCCCTACCTGACCATGTGTGTAGACCTAATATCTCCCAGCTAGAAAATGTCTACTTCTACTAATTACCTCTCCTTTGCATTCTCTCTTCTTCTTCTCCTCTTCACATTCAATCCTCTTTGCAACGTTTTGGGTGTCGGAGTAAACTACGGCACCGTCGGAAACAACCTTCCGCCTCCGAAGAGGGTGGCTCAGCTCCTCCAATCCACCATCATCGACAAGGTCAAAATATACGACACCAACCCGGACATCCTCGAAGCCTTCGCCAACACCGGCATCGACCTCATCGTTGCCGTAGAAAACAACCATGTCGCCAACATTAGCGCCGCCCCTTCCGCCGCCGACCAGTGGTTCGCCGCCCGCATCTCCCCCTTCATCCCCGCCACCTCCATCGTCGCCATCGTGGTCGGAAACGAGTACTTAACCGCCGACGACGATGATGATAAGCTAGACCACAACGCGCTAGTCCAAGCCATGCAGAACTTGCATGCCGTTTTGCTGGCACGCGGACTAGACCGGAAAATCAAGATTTCTACGCCGCATAGCATGGCCGTCCTGGCGTCCTCTTTTCCCCCGTCCTCCTCCACCTTCGCCGCCACGCTCCTCCCTACCATGACGGCGATCGTCGGCTTCCTAGCCGACACCGGCGCTCCCTTCATGATCAACGCGTACCCCTACTTCGCCTACCGGGACAATCCCGGCATGGTAAATCTAGACTACGCGTTGCTGGGTAACGCAACCGGAGTGCATGACCCTAAAGGCGGCATTTACACAAACATGTTGGACGCACAGATAGACGCAGTGAGATCCGCCATAGCCGCGCTAGGGTTCGGCAACCGGACGGTGGAGATCACGGTGTCGGAGTCCGGCTGGCCGTCGAAGGGCGACGCCGGAGACGCCGCCGCCACGGCGAGCAACGCCAGGACGTACAACAGCCGGCTGATTCACCGCGCGCAGTCCAGCACCGGCACCCCCATGAGGCCAAAAGACCCCGTGGAGATCTTCGTGTTCGCGCTGTTCAACGAAAACAAGAAGCCGGGAGGGGCGAGCGAGAGGAACTTCGGGATGTTCGACGGCGACGGTGCTAAGGCTTACGACGTGGATTTGAGCTGCGAATTCTGCAGCGGCGGCGAGAGCAACAAGATGGGGTTTGGGGGGGAAATGGGGCGGCCGGGAATGATGGCCAGAGGGCCGTCGGTGTGGTGTGTGGCGAAACCGCACGCGGAGGAGAAGGTGATACAAGAGGTGTTGGATTTTTGCTGCGGGGGTGGGGGAGTTGATTGCAGGGAGATATATGAGAATGGGGATTGTTACTATCCTGATAAGATTCACGCGCATGCATCCTACGCCATGAATGCATATTACCAGATGCATGGCAGGAACTACTGGAACTGTGATTTCAAAGCCACCGGCATTGTCACCTTCAGCGATCCAAGTAAAAATTCCATCTTTACATACTCCGTTGAAATTTTTTTAGACTTTTTTGGTCACACAATGAAGTGTCCTAAGCAGACCCGAGACACCGGATCTTTAAGCCCGTATTATACTCAAACTAATCTCTGTTTGCACGAGTAAAGTGTCGACCAGATTGAAACTTCCGACCGGGACCACGGCCACTCATGCCAACCAAGCTGGTTGAAATTTTTTCTACTTTTAATCCCACTACTATAAGATCATTTTTCATTTTTTTTTTTTTTTGAAAACCAAATAACCAAATTTCATTAAATTAAGTGTGCAATACAATGCAAAATAGAAAGAGACCAAATAAGAGGATCAGATTGCGAGCAGCCCTAGCTAAAGCATGAGCAGCTGTGTTCATTTTTCATATTTAATCTTAGGACTTTTAAATTCTGGTCACATTTGATCCTTTGATCTAATTTGCAATTACATGTGACTTATTTTTAAGGGCAAATTTGTCATTTTTCATTATTTCTTTCTTAAACTTATAACGAAAGAGATTTGAAATGACAATTTTGTCCTTCAAGATTAGTCACTTAATTACCGGTGATTGAAAATTAAGTTGGAGGAATTAAATGTGGCAATGATTTAAAAATTGTGTGATCAAATTAAATGTGAAAAAAATAATAATTTAAGATCAAATGTGGAAATGGTCTCATAATTGTGGACCAAAAGTGGAAAAAAACTCTACTATGATATATCCATACTTTTCATTTTCTATAATTTTAATTTATTAATTATGTTTATGTTCATCATCATCTTCAATTCATCTATTTATGTTTGATCTGCAGGCTATGGGAAATGCAGATATCCACAACAATGAGGAGGGGAACTAGCTAGAAATGCATTCAAGTGATGAATGGAAAAAGACAATCAGATGAACAGCTGGAAAGGGTAATGAGTAGAAAGATGAAAATGGCATCCAGCTTTTGTGTAACCTTTTTTTCAACTTTTTTTCCCTGGATCAGTGAATATCCATGATTGATGTTTGTCTGAGTGAATTTAGGTTCCTAATCATACCATTTGGAAAAAGACAATTTGAGCATCTGGAACTGGGCATGCTACATGTGGAGAAAGTGTTCACTCCTGTCTCCTTAATTGAAGACTTTGTTGCCATTTCTACACAGTGCATTTATATGGATAGCTTATGTTAAATTATTGTTTTTCATGGTTATTGTTATTTATGCGGGTAAGAATGTTGTGACAACTTTATTTTATTAATTAATCACATAACCTTTGATTTAGGAGAAAGTAAGCCTGTTTTGTGATTCTAAACCACAAAGAACACCAAATCAATTATCCAACTAATGTGATTCGAGTTATCCTCATTAATCACATAACCCGCATGCACGTTTTATACTTACAATACCAACTAGTTGTGGACTTGTGGGTATGCATAACGGAAAACATTGTGCCTATATAATAACTATAATTAATGTGTTTTGAACGTATAGTTTATAAATATCAACAACATTTAATTTGTATGAGAAAAATAAAACATACATACAATTCGAAGATAGATCATTTTAACAATTAATTAGTAACTTAATACGTAATTTAGTTCTGGACTATAGTAGTTTTCTCGATTTAGTTATAAATGTTTTTTGTGCTTAATTGAGTCATCGATTTCAATGATTTTATCTAATTGAGTCCTTTGTAAGTGTAGCTTGGCAATTTCCTTTCTACTAATGCCTAATTTAGTCTCTAACTATATATAGTGATTTTATCCAACTTAGTCACTAACTATAGTGGCTAATACTCAATTTAGTCCTCGACTATATAATGGTTTTTCTCAATTAATCTTTGATTCTAACCGTCAATGACTCAATTAATTAAGTAAAATCATCAAAGTCGATGACCTAATTAGGCACAAATTAAAAGATGTTTAGGACTAAATCAATAAAAATCACTATAGTCGATGACTAAATTGAGTATTAAATCATTAATTAATTTTTTTTTTTGTCAAACCATGAGGTGTCCTCACGGCTAGAAATTATGAAATTTCCGACCACCTGAAAATGATATTAAATCAAGTCGAAAGTCTTGTTCCAATAACTTTTGGTATCCGGAAAAACCTTTGTTGCTATTTTCGACCACTTTTTGCTTTCGACTTGATTTAAGATCACTTTCAGGTGGTCGGAAATTTCATAATTTCCAGTAGTGCCTGAGCATGCCCTAACTGTACGAGGCACCTTTAAGCCCGTACCATGCTCAGACTAATCCCCGTTCGCACCGGGTTAAGGGATAATTTTTTTTTTGTCAGACCATGAGGTGTCCTGAGCAGACCCTAACTGCACTAACTGTAGGAGGCATTTTTAAGCCCGTACATACCATATTCAGACTAATCCTCGTTCGCATCGAGTCAACCCAATTAAGGGACAAAGTGCTGACCAGATTGGTTTTTCCATACGAGAGGGGTTCAAATTCCCCACCTTCTTAAGGGGCAAGAGTGCATGACCACTCACGCCAACTAATTAAGCTGGTTTAAATCATTAATTAATTATAGCATGACTTTTTTTAAACCAATAATCACTTCGTGTTAGAATTTGAACCAACTTCTTGCAAGCATTTGTTCATATTTTTAAAAAACCAACAATCCATGTTAGAATATGTGCGCATATATTCATCAATTTTCTACTGATAGAAGACGATAATGAAGGCCAGGGAGATAAACTATTTTGCCAATTTCTATATGTAAATACTTTTTACTATCACAAATCATAAGCAAAGACCCAACCCCATCATTAACAAAAAGGCACACTTACAAAAAGATGGAAAGAAAACACAATACAATACGTCCTCAAAAAAAAAAACAAAAAACAAAAAAAAAAAAAAAAAAAAAAACAATACAATAAACGCCTAAACATGAAAAAAGAATAATTACATCTAGCGCAGTGAGCAAAGGTCCCTCTGTGGTTTATGTTCAGTTGAGTTACCATGATTTACATCCTCCCAAATGCTCTGTGGGGTCGGGGTGTGAGGGGCCCTTAGGGTTAGGGTTCAAGAATAACTACATCTATATTAATGTTAATGCAATAGAATAATTAGGAATGGCAATTGTGCGGGGTTGGGTGGGGATATATTTCCTACCTCGCACTCACATTCCCGCCCTACTCCTTACACCCATACTCACACTTGCGCGCAGGTGATAAAATTCCTAACTCATCTCTGAACCCACAGGCAATTTTACGGGTACGGGTAATATTCAACTTGTAACTTTAGTCTTTTTTTTTTTTTTTTGAAATGTGTAACTTTAGTCATTAATGTCACACTTAAATCTAATAAAAAATTTATAACTATAATTTAATTACAACATGAATCTAAATCTAATCTAAAAACATAATAAGTGTGAATGAAGATTATACCCTTCATTTATGTTTGTTTTTTTCGTTAAGCTTTTTTTATACATTATGTTATAAAAGTTGTACTTTATAATCTTTTGGACAAATATACCCCTACTGTTATCTTTTCCACTATTATTACTATGCACATGCATCCACCATATATTTTCTTATCTTTTTCAATAATAATAATATTTATACATTATAATTTGGAGTTATTTTATACAATATAAATATCAAATGTATAAAAATGTTTACATTATTATTATTATTATTATTATTATTATTATTATTATTATATATTATTATATAAAAAATCTTAATATAAAATAATAATATTGGGCACCTAATTTTTGCACATAGCGCATAAGAAAATATTAGTTCTTTTTATAAGTGTGAACATATTATATATACATATACATATCAATATATATAATTCCAAACTCTATTTCATGCAATAACTTTTAAAAAAGAATTGACTCAATTTGTAATCTCTTGATTATAATAATATTATATTTTTATTATCAATTATTAATTTGATCACTTTTAATTTGGTCTTTCCGTTTATTTAAATTGGCTCAATTCAATTAAAAATTTCTTTACTCTCACCAAAATTTCACTTTTTTTATGTGAGGGCATTTTAAATCATTTGAATTAAATTTAGTAAACTAGAAAAGACCAATAACAAAAAATGGGAGCGTTATGCTGTGCATGCATGGTGCACACGGTTGCAAAAACGACGTTGTTTTGACGTCTGACTTAAAAAAAATAATTTAGAATTGCATAACTACACATTCATAACTATACATCCAGCATTGCATAACTACACATCCATAACTTCATAACTATAAATCCAGAATTGCATAACTACACATCCATAACTTCATAACTATAAATCCAGAATTGCATAACTACACATCCATAACTTCATAACTATAAATCCAGAATTGCATAACTACACATCCATAACTTCATATTATACATTCAGAATTGCATGCATAACTACACATCCATAATTTCATAACTATATATTCAGAATTGCATGCATAACTACACATCCATAACTTTATAACTATACATTCAGAATTGCATAACTACACATCCATAACTTCATAAATATACATTCGGAATGTGAAATTATAACTTCATAACTATACATTCAGAATTGCATACATAATTACACATCCATAACTTCATAACTATAAATCCAGAATTGCATAACTACACATCCATAATTTCATAACTATAAATCCAGAATGTGAAATTATAAAATTATGAACATGTATTTACGTAACTAACGCTAATCGAAAATAATTTTTTTATTATTTAAGTAAAACGACGCCGTTTTTACATCCGTGTGCTGCACACGGAGGTTGGTGCATGGTGCACAAGGAGGTTACATAGAGAGTTGTCGAATAAAAAGTGAAAAAATAACTATTATTCTTTTGATGAAAAAAAAAAAAAACTTATGTTAATTTTTTTTAATATTATTACGTGTTCTTCAAAAAAATTTTGTTACTTATATAAATATTTTGTTTAATGACAACTTATACATCATGAAATTTTTTTTATAACAATATTGTCATATTTTGTATATGGGTATTTATGTCTTTTGAAAACATATTCCATTTATATATCCTTTAATGGCTTAAACAAACCAAACACTAAAATATACTTATAAAATCTATTTTTTTAGCGAATCAAACAATAGAATACAATTCATATATTCTATTCTATGGAATATCATTCTCAAGCCATAGATACATTATATATTACAAGTCACAAAATTAAAATTCTTAATTTAAATTGATCCTCATTAAGTAAGTAATGAATCTATTAAAATTGAAAATCTTTTATTAGAATTGATGTATACTAAAATTTCAAACTATTCACACAGTAAGTTTCATTATGATTCCTAAATATTATAAGTATAAATAAAAATGGTTAACCAAACATCCCAAAATGTTTATTTTTTATAACTCAAGTTTTCAAGTTTTGTCGGATTATATCTTGGACTCCATGAACTTATCCCTAGACACATAAGAATATAAATCTAGCCAATATAGTTTTTCGACACAATACCAAATTATACACTTATGTGCATAAGGAGTTCAACCCAAACCTAAAATGTTTTACCTTAGTCCAAATAGAATGAGATGAAACTAGCTTAGTTGACATGAATGACCGTGCACTCTCATCCTTAAAAGGCATCCACAATCCTTCAATTCTTCCCTAACCTCTCCATTTTTGTGGGCTTCAACTCATCCACATCACCATATAATCTCATCCGATATTGTTTCACCAATCCTTCTCCAAATTTCTCTCCTTTTTTTTTTGGCTCTACTCCTATACACTCCTACACATAATCTATTATTTTATGAGAAAAGGATCAAATAGGCTCCTAAACTTTACTCAAAAAATCAATTAGGCCCTTAATCTTTCAAACATTACAATTAAACATATAAACATGTTATTTTAGAGCATTGAGACGTAGAAATCGATTGGTGATTTGTAATTACAATTCACTAGAGTTCCAGCGAACCTCCGACGAGCCTCCAAACAAATTCTCGCAAAAACACCGGTGAAACAGTCGGCGGTGTCAGTTGGTTGCCTTCTATAGCGAATGGAAAGGAGACCAGTTGGTTGTCTTCTCCAGCCGCTAGAAAAGGCAACCAACTGGTCGCCTTCTCCTGCGACTGGAGAAGGAGACCAGGTTCTGGTTGCCTCTCTGTACATGGCTATGGTCACATCTCTGGTCAATTGACGGTGGATTTGGAGGGTAGTCAACGCAATTACAGTGGTCAACGATGTAGATTTACTTGTAACCTGTTGC